TATATATATATAACGAAATAATTTATTTAAAATAAAATTAGCTCTGTCCGAGAATTGTGATTTCTTTTGGTCTTCTGGAAGAAATAAAATTCGTTTGCACTGAGAGAAAGAATTTTGTTAATTTAACAAGTTACCAGTACCTTTAATGATTAATATCGATGCTCGGTAAATATATGACAGCAAAGTTTGTTGTTGTGATTACTATTAGTCTACTATATCAACCAATTATTAGTAACAGAAGTAAACTATATAGAATCTAACTTATCTTTTGGATAAACTTTAGGCTCGTTTACATAGAATTCGTAGAGATAATCGTGGAGATAATCGTCTTAAATCATAGGAAACCGACCAAGCACAGTCTAATATAGGGAAAATACTTGACTAGAATTGATCAATTTCTTACGATTTGAGACCTCGGAATCGTCTACGACTTTTATACATACGAGCCTCTTATTTGCTAGCGATATTAGTGATTATTTGTTACATTGACGAATTAATTTGCAATCGTGATTTGCAAATCGATTGTTTTTTTTTTAACAAATATCACATTTATTTTCCCTTGATTTGTTTCTATAACAAAATCATTTCTCTCAGTGTGGAGGGAAACTGAGAGAAAATATATAGCGCTTAAATTACAATACGTTTAGAATATAAAATAGAGACTAGATCTTTTTGTGCCTGGCTATTTTGGTTATTTCGTTCGCCGCGTACCGAGAACGATTCTGGATTACACGAGTCATAATTATTCACGAGGCTACGCTCGTATTTTACGGTTTAAGGCCGAAACGCAATAGCGTATCTTCGTCGCATCGATAGCCAGATCGCCTTCGTTATCCTGTATAATTTTATGCAGCGCTTGCATACTTCATGCGATAAGACATGGAAGTTTGAAGAGTTCGCCCTCGCGCCCGCTCGCGATCTATGCATATGGCCATTATTGATAAAAGCGCTTCCAGCCTTTATTTCAAGGACGCACAACGAAATGGACGTATCCCAATTTCGCGGCCGAAGTAAAATAAATTCCTCGTTACTTCGCACGCGAGCAAATTCATCATTTCTAATCTTAATGATGGACGCATAAACTCTGCAAGATTTGTCTATTAACATCGTCCGCAAATGCCTTTTGCATGCGTACATTGTTGGCTTATTGGTCAGGAATCGCTAAATGTGCAGACTCTCATTGGAAAATTTAACGATCTAAAATTGCAAGAAAGTAGAGGATTTTTATTAACATTGAGAGAGACTTACAAGAATCTGCAATTGCTAAAATTATTCGATAAATTTTCTAATGTTTTACATAAGTCATACTTGCATGAGATAATTCTTTGCTTGGAATGTCACATTGTGAAATTACATATAACTCAAACAACTTTTTTGTTTAATTTTTTTTTGTATGTTATAGGTATCGTCATGGCGTAATAATTTTGTTATAAAGTTTACAAGAACGTGTTGTCAAAGTATCCTTACCCAGACTGCAGGAATCTCGCTGTATTGAAAAAAAAATTTATTTATTATTCGTAATTTGTTCGAGTCACTAAATTTTTAGGAAACAACACAAATTGTAAATATATATATATATATTGTAATATAATACATTATTTATTAATATTTAACACGAACAAATAAATTTACAATTTATTTATTAATATTTAATACGAACAAATAAATTTATTTATCAATATATTTATAATAATTAATATATTCAAAATTTATATTATTCCAAATTCTTTGTAGACATATTTATGTATCTCATCTTTAGTTTCTATTTGTGAAGGAAACTGAAGATGCAAATTTTTATCTCATCCAATTGGCATTAAATAAATAAACATTTACAAAAAATAGTAATTGGTAATTGTAATTTTATGACCTGCGTTACAATCTGTAACAATTACTTATCCTTATGACTATGTAAGATGAGACGCTTTTTCGTTATAGATCGCTTTTGTGTACGTGTATCTCACAAACGTAAGCGAATTCATTGATTTATTTATAACGTCGACATAGTACGACTGACGTTAAAAAGATATGCAAAAAAGCCATCTTTTTGCAGCTATCGGAAGTGAAGAGACAGTTTCTCTGTTTCTATCTCACGTAAAGTAAAAAATTGTCTTACGTGAGATGAATTTTTTATGTGTATTCTAGCAATATTTTCAGTCGAATAGTTTGCTATGAAATATAATTGTATTATTTAAATTATCAGTAGTTTTAGCATTGATATTATGATTTGAATATGAATTCCTTTTCTTCTTTTGA